ATTGGACGTCCTCTGAATGGTCAAAAGTGTGCCATTTGTATCCTTCACTGGACATCCATTGGATGTCGGAAGTCCAGAAAACTAATTTTTGGACGTCTAGACATCCAAAATTGTATATCGAATGGACGTCCAAAGGACATATTTGTATTGTCTGGGTAATAGCCAGGCCAGGTATTTAACTCTAAATACATAAACCTTAAATGACATCTGGTTTAACTTGGCGATAATACACTTGTTTCTACAGAAATGAGTGATAAACTTGAAAGTCCTTTAAATATAATATAAATCTAGAAATTCTAAAAATATGTAACTACTTTTTAAACCTAAAAGCTTTGAAAATATATGCATATTGCAAATATTTAGTTAAACCTCTCAAACTTAATGTCTTTTTAATTGTTACCTAAATTTTTTTTGACACCCTTAATTTTATTTACCTTATTTTTAGTTAAGGAAAAGAAATTTAAATATGGGACTTTTATTACATTTTTAACAATAAATAAACCAAATGTTGAAAAAATTTTATAGATAAATTATAAAATAATAAACGTCTTTTACTTTTATAATAAATAATTAGTTATTACATAATGAATTATATTTTGGTGCCGAAATTTCAGCATTGCTATTAATCCTAACTACTTCAATGTAATTAAATCACATTGCAACATTTGCGCATGGACTATAACAATAATTTCAGATAATTTGCCAAACTATTTCGCTCAGTGTAGAAAATGAGCATGTTTTCTCAGCGTTCTAAGTTGTGTATCAGTCAAAGTCACATACTTTAATTCCTATACGGGGCAAGAGAGAGGTCCGACACGCCCAACATAGGGCGCGGCCATTTTGAACCCTATGACACAGTTTATAGCTAAAGAATCAGATCGCTCACTCTGCGTCGGCACTTTTTATCTCAATGTTCCAGTTTATACACTGCGCAACTCAGATAATACAATATATGACAACCGCATATAATAGAACAGCAGTCTTCTGCGTATCCTGAATTTGTATCCCTGGAGTGGATGTTATTTTGGAACTTTCAACTGGTCCGAGTGAGCTAACTGATTCATTAGCAATAAACTGTGACTCCAAAAATAATATTCACTGACACTGACTGCAGCAAGCAAAATATCAGGTGCGTTTTAATCATCCGCTACTGCTTCCGGAATTGTCGGTTCAGTCGTTCTAACCTGTCAGATTAAACAAGAAAACCGACAATTCCGAAGCAGAAGCGGATGATTAAAACGCACCTATTAAAAATATTGCGCCAAGATGTAGGCAACACGTAATAAGGGTTCAAAATGGCGGAGTTTTCTATCTCCTTTTAAAAGGCACTCAGAAAGCTGTGCAGTGCGACCATTCTCCGTATAGTAAAAGAAAATCAAAGTATGTGGTCAAAGTCATACTGTGAAAAAGGTACATCCGATATCAAAGGCACCGACAGCTACTGTCGCTTCTCCTTGATCGATATTCTCGGGTATAATAGTTTATTGGCACGAGAAATCACAGTTTACGTAACACTAAAAACAGTTTAATGAGATAATAAATAATTAAGTTTACAAACACACTTAAATAATTAAATTTATAACACTGCCTAAAAACACAATAAACAAAAAATTAATTAGCTAATACGAGGGGGGCAACAAAAAAAAAACAGGAAATCCGTCATAACATCTTTATTTCTTAATATTTTTACACCAAGTTTTAATCACCTTCAAAGTCTTCTCCATTTTCCACAACGAGCTTCTTCAAACGATCCTTTCACTGTTCAAAACATTTTTTAAATTCACTTTATGCCTTCCAGCGATTTTCGTTTTACCTCCTCAACAGTGGCAAAACGCTTTTCTTTTATGTCCCTTTTGAGTCTGGGGAACAAAAAGAAATCAGATGGGGTTAGATCCGGTGAGTATTGGGGAAATAATCGGTATCAGGGGCGTCTTTGAGCTCATTTTAAAACTCAAAACATGCCTGAAGTCGACGCTCCCTTTTCTCGTCTCTGAGAAGAAGGGGAACAAATTTGGCAGCAACACTCCTCATGTGCAAATCTTCGGATAACATCCTCTGAATTGAACTCCATGATATTCCAGATATCTCAAAGGTTCGGCGACTGTCTTTGTGAACGAGGGCGTCCTGAACGGGGTTGGTTTTCAATTGACATTTCCTCATTTTTAAAACGTAAAAACCACTCGTAAACTCTGGTTTTCCTTAGGACAGCGTCCTCATAAACAGTCTTAAGCATTACAATGGTTTGCGCGGCCGATTTCCCCAACAGAAAACAAAATTTCACAGCGGCGCGTTGCTCTCGACAATCTGTCATAACGTTTTTGCCAAAATGGAAAAAGATGTTTTACTGAAAACTCTCTCGGGCGAACCGATGCACTCACAGCGACACAACTTCGTACACTAACTCAAGGGCAGTGTTGTGTTTTTAGTAGCAACAGCTTGTACTGAAATTCAGATCGTGATTGTACTAGAACGTACTAGATTTGCCGGTAAATTTCAAATGAGAAAACAATCTCAATTTAAACGGAAAAATAAATAAAATAGGTATAACAAAAATATATGTTTACGATGGTAAACGTTATATGGTTAAATAATAAAATTTGAAAATAAAAATAAAAACTTATTTTTAATAGAAAAACAAATAAAATAGGTGTAACAAAAATATATCTTTATACATATTGATAAATAAAAAAATGTAAAAATTAAAAATATATTTGCTGTCAATAGATTTACAATAATTAATCGATAATAGATAATAGTGTAGTATTCTTTTTAATAAATAATTTACCGTAATAAACAATGTTAATAAATTTATTTACCAGAACATGAAAGTGCAATCGATATTTATCAGGTTTTTAAATTTCCCGCAGCGTTATTTGTTTGATATCGATGATGGCGACACATGGTGGGTCAGATATTAACTGTGTTTCAGCTGGTCGTTGTTAAGCATGTGCTTCTTATGAGCGTATCTTATCTTTATGTCCCTTATAAGAAGACTCATAAAGGTAGTTTTTGCGGCATAAACCAACATGAACGTTTATGATAGATTATGTTATTTAGACATCTATATACGTTTATAGACGTCTAAATAACATAATCTATAATACATGTTTATGTTGGTTTATGCCGGGAAAAGTACCTTATAGTTCCTTATCTCTAGTATCGCATTGGGAGTGTCAGAAGTATCTACTGTCTAACATAGAAATTAGAAATCATAGAATGCATTATTAAAGAAGATCCAGCAACATTTTTAAAATGTACTAGAATTAGAGACTTTTATCTTTTGTGGTACTAGCATTTATGAATGGTTGAAATGTACTGAATCTAGTACAATTGTACTAGGAAACCCAACGCTGCTCAAGGGGCGTGACTGTAATGGACACCTGGTCGAACAATGGGTTCCCCTACTTTCCCTCCTCACCGCAGCCCAATTCCCGTTTTTTTTTTGGGCCCTCCTCGTACACTACGCCACTGGAAACTTGCAAACTCTTGAACAATCAGTGCCATATTTAAAAAAAAATCGTATGCATTACCGCAAAAAAGTAGACATTTGAAATTTTAGGAATATTAAGGTAGCTTCATTATCTGTCGACTCGTAAAAAATTATAAATTTAAAAACTTTATTTTTACCACAGAAATATAGCAAAACAAGCAACATTTTAAACACAACAATACTTAAAGTATTTTATGTATAATGTGCCTTCAAAATTTCTTTTAAATCACTTGAAAAATAAATATACAGGGTTCATTAACAAATTAAGGCGGGGTATGTATTTCTCTTAATAAAAAATAGATCATATTGTATTTTTTCTACTAGCGTGCGGAAAAGTCCACTTTTCCGCGCTCATTTTAGTGTTAAGTCACTTTTCCGCACTAGGGCGGAAAAAAACTGTTTTCCGCACTAGTACAATTGTTAAGTTTTTGGGGAGTATACTGACATTTGAATATTTAAAATATATATTTGTATGATTGTAGTTTACAAAATGAATGAAAAATTAAGAAATTTATTAGAATTCTGCTTTATAATAATTGAAGCGCCTGACAAAATTTATCTTCATATAAAAGTCGCTACGATTTTTGGTTTGGCAGGCGCATGTAGGCGAGAAGAATCAACAAAGACGTCTTTAGATCATATTGATGACAAAGGAAATATTTTATTGATAAATATCCCAGACACAAAAAACCACTCTTTCAGAAGATTTGCGATTTCTGAGGAAGCTGAAAATGGAAAATTGCTCAATTTGTTCAGAAAGTATGTGAGTTTAAGAAAGCCTGAAACCTCACATAAGCTATTTTTCGTAAATTATCAGAAAGGAACTTGCACTGTACAATGTATCGGAATAAACACCTTCAGAAAAATGCCATCAGAGATTGCAAGTTATCTGAAGCTTCCAAATCCTAAATTATATACGGGCCACAGTTTCCGACGTTCCGCCGCCACAGTACTTGCAGATTCCGGAGAAGGAATAACAAATATTAAACGCCTCGGTTGGAAATCGTCTAGCGTCGCAGAAGGTTATGTAGAAAGCTCACCAAGTTTCCAAAAGGGCATATCGAATAAAATAACTTCAATGACGCTGTCGTTGGCCCTTCCACTAGTCAGCAGCTGTCACCAGTAAAGCCTTCCAAAATGACCTCTTCCAGCCAAGTTCCCATCGCCCCGGTTGCAACAATTAGTGCTGACAAAGCAGTGGAAAACCGAAATCTGACTTCATTGAAAAACATTTTAGCCTCTGCAATCAATTTGCAGAATAAATGTTTCTTTATGTTAACTTTTGGGTTTTTTCCGCACGCTAGTAGAAAAAATAGTGTACCTAACACGTGCGTAAAGTGACTTTTCCGCACGCAAAGCACAATTAGGATTTTGTTTATGATTTTCTCAATTTTATTTAAAAAAAAAATGGGCATTACTGGTTTTATCTTTATCTACGCGTGCATATTTTTTCTTTTAATAAAGAAAAAAGTAGCGTACTACAAAAAGTTTGTATTAATTAAAAACAAATTTCAATCATAATTTTTATTAAAAAAAGTTGTCCTTAGGAATATTTGTTGTATTATAAATGTAAAAAAAGACACGTTATTAAAATGTTTTACCGCCAATAATGATGCGAATATATTCATACGAATCCCAATAAATGACGGCCCATGGTCCCAGTCGTAACCAAGTCGGCCAAAATCCTTTATATAATGCCCAAAACCCTTCTTCTTTTACTGTTGTTTTAAAGCAATCCCAAGTACCCTTATATGAAAGGCCCTTTCCGTGCATGTCAACTGGTTGATTCATAATTCTTGATTTTATTACGTCAGAAGGATTGGATAAAATCGTTGAAGCCAGTCCTGCTATGAAACTCGCTAAGGAATGAAGTGCAATTCTATCAGAAAGACCAAAGTGTTTTATAAAAAAACGTTTAGCGGTATCGTAGGTAGTTAAATCACCTATGGCAACTAAAATTGCCCTAAGACAACTAGGTACCCAGCCTATCCACAAACCTCTTATTCCACCTATACTATATACCCTTTTAAAAGCGTTACAAAATCCTGTTCCTCTTGGTGGAAGTCCCAATAATTTTCTTTTACCTTCCATTTGAAGTTGGACTTTTATTAAATCCATTGGGTTAGACAACAATTGAGCCACAAAACCGCAAGCCATTCCACAAATTATTGCTTGCCACAGAGCAAGTTTATCTTCAGAGCCGTATTTTTGAAATAAACCTCTTATTTCGTTATATACTGTTATTCTTGTACCCGAATAAATCACATGCCTAATCCACAATGCACTGATTCCAGTCCATAAACTAAAAAATCCTTCCTCTTTCACTACACCCACAGCTGTTTTCATCATACCCCGTCTAGGTGCTTCGGGTATTGAATCGTGCAATGATCCCTGTATTTGAAGTCTAGTTTTTACTAAATCTAATGGGTAGGTATATATTTCTGTATGGCATGCAGCAATAACTCCACATATATAAATACACCAAAAGGAATTAACCCACATTGAAATTTTGGCATATTAATCGAACTACTGACATATTCTAGTTTTTATTTACATTGACCCTTTACCAAAGAATGCCTATTAAAAAGCGAATTATCGACAAAATTTCTATGCCCATGACTGAAATTGCAATATTTAACTGTCTGGACTTGACTTTTAGGTCAATCATAGCTGTCACTTTGTAGTGGGTAGCAAAGAAATCTTAGATAATATTATGTCTATGGTAGTAGTAAGTTAGAGCGAAGTTTGGTGTACGTCATGTATACGTTTTTCCAAAGTAAAGAATATGGACACAGCTGTGGTAAGGAGTTCTACACTCTATAGTAAAGAATTAGGATAGTTAAAAGGAGTTTGAAAGAGACACATGCGAATAAACTACTAGGCTAATGTTTCAAACCAATTTTAAATATACGTCGCCTAATTTCTACCGGAGAACTTTTGAACCATAGAGTTTCCCTCAGGCTATAAAACAAAAAATCGATGATAAGAGCTTAGTATGGGTGCTTTAAGTGAGCGATCAGACCAGGTCGAAAACGTCTAGCGAAAAAGAAAACCAACTAACATAACTACTCATGACTAATCAGCTGATCGGACAGAACGGTCAATAAATTTTGTCGGAATCCAGTAGTCAAAACTGTCTAGTCAATGGTCTAATGTCAGCTCTTGTTGTATTTGCCTCCGAGATTTGCACTCACTAACAAGATTTTTCCACTGCTTAAAATCAGAGAGTTGAGTGTTTTAAGACCTAACGTCAAACCTCTGTTTACAAAGTGACAAAGTGTCCCTGAAAATGTATAAAATTAAGATGGAGTTACTGTACCAGAGGAACGCCGAAAGTTGTGATAGTCTACAATTCAGATCACACAATCACACCAGTGATACCTACAGTTATATAGATAGCTCACCATATGTAAATAAAAGGGCATATGCTCGAAGCATATAGTCTAAAAACTAAAAACCACATCATGAAGAGCCATCGTGAAAAGCGACCGAGTTTATAATCGTAGAGAAATGTTGATAATAGACGACAAAATTGCTTTTCTTCGTCTGATTTACATGTGGATTAGCAATCAATATAACTATATATCATTGTGATACAGGAGCGCCATTCTGGTGGTCACTTTCTGAAACCTTATTTACTGCTTTTAGGAGGATATTTTTTGAGATTAAAAACCATATGTGATTGTCATTTTCTCTTATTAATAAATGAGGCGTTTAGTCCATTTAAAATAACGGTAAAAGGTCGAGAAACGGACTTGACGAGACCACTTGTCCCCTACGTATTTTGGGGCGCTGATTACGAAAATGAGGGTTAAAACTGGCAGCAATGGTTGGAACACCCCTAAAATTGCAAAAAAAACACCCCTACATAGGGGTGTTTTTCGACTGTACTTATTGTTTTGCAAACTAAGCCATCCAAAAAACATAAAAAATGACTTAGTTCGCGAAACACCGTGACTGTGTCGGTTTAGTCGTTTTAACCTGTCAGATTAAAACAAGAAAACCGACAATACCGAAGCAGAAGCGGATGATTAAAACGCAGCTATTAAAAATATTGCGCCAAGATGTAGGCAACACGTAATAAGGCATCAAAATGGCGGAGTTTTCTATCTCCATTTAAAAGGCGCTAAGAAAGCTGCGCAGTGCGACCATTCTCCGTATAGTAAGAGAAAATAATCAAAGTATGTAGTTTTCATTAAATAAAGACAGTTTGACAGGTAAGATTACAAAATCACAAATGTTAGTCGTTCTTAAATAATTTTCATCAGGTAAAAATCAGGATTGCACCAGTTGGCAATTTATTGGTAACGTGGTTTATCAAACAGTCCATCATTTTGTTGAATATTAGAAAACGCCTATGGCCGCATTCAGCAGAAGCAATCGATTTATGATTTTCTGCTGAATGATATATAAAAGAGCGATTAGTAATCAAATGATGAGTTATCGGCCGCCATTTAAAACATCGAATTTGAAATACGATTAGTTATCACATCGTGATAAGATTTAGAACTCATACCAACTGAAGTGAATGTTTTGTGGTGGTGCTCATAACTCATAACCTTATTTTATGTTTATTTTGAATTCAGTTTTACACTGATTTTGTCATTTTTCACTAAAATGAAGGACTTTGAAGTGATATATGTTTATAACAATATGAAATATATTGTAGTTGGTAATGAAGTGTTGCACAATGCATTAAAATCAGGCAAATACATTAATTTATAATTATGTAGTTGAGTAATTTATTTGGTGTTTTATTCTAAATTTTGTACCTATATTTTAGATGATGACTTTTTTCTGAAGTACATGTCACTTTTGTGTCGCCTGTCGAAGTGCCTTAAAAGTTCATTCAAGAGATTCACTAAGCGATAAGTCATCGCTAAGTTATCGTTTGATAATCGGTTGCTTCTGTTGAATGCGGCCTATGTTTCCTCTACACTCCATAGAACCGTGGTCTATGTCGTATCTACTTTTTTCTATATCGATGGTCTAACCCATTCTGACTATACCAGTCAGCTTAATCGTTGACTTCACGCAGCCTATGAAATCTATGTATGTATGTATGTATGTATGACTCAAACCATTTGAACAAGTTGCACCCACTATAGCAAATTTAGTAAGCAAGATGATCTATCATATCAAAAACTTTGGTGAATTCGGCATAAATGGAGTTTAGATGATTACCCTTTGGCCTATTTCTGCTTTCCAATATAAATAAATTCATTTCATAGAACGTTTGCTTGTAAAATGATGTTAACTAAATTGATTTTACATCAGCATAAATCAGTGATAATATATTTATATATCTTCAAATATACAAAGTTTCGTAATTAGGTAGTAGTTGTGAACAAGGTATTCTTTTTCTGATTTAAAAATAAAATGCTTTTCCTAAAAGATCTATGATTTGCCGTCTTGTTAAAACTCAACTGAATAGCCATGATGGGATTAAACGCTTTGATAGATAAGTTAGTGGTTCGTAATTCGCTCTTAACACCTGCGAATTGGATTAGCTCTAATAGGGATTCCGTTTAAAGAGTGACTTATTTGTTACATTTGTCGAATGCCTAAATCTTCTAATAAAACATTCATGTTTAACTATGGATTTGGGGATTTTGATATTTAGGTTTTGCTAATTTATAATCAAGTTTAGTTCATTTTTGTAGAATTATGTATTATTTTCTATAACGGATAATATATCATTAAATATATTTTTCTAATTTTGACATATAACCAGTTACATAAAGCATTATTTAACTGGTTGTTACCAATTGCGAAAAGAAAATATTTATGAATAAACGTTTTCTGGTTTTAAAATAAATATTATATATTGATTTTGATAATTTATACCGAAGGAAGAAAGGTTAAATATATAAAGAAAGATTTTATTAGTGAACTTACAATTAGTACTAATTCTGTTTCGGTCTCTATTTTAGATCGGTGAAAAAAAGCTATTGCACAAGAATGTACTAGTGATGCACCAATATGCAACACTAATTATTTTTTTGCACCAGCTTCCTTGAGGAAATTCAGATATTTCAATATTGGGGGGGGGGGGGGATGAATGCTGCCCCCAGTGATAATTTTGAGTAATTTAATCATATGATGTTTCTTTACCGCGAAGTAAGCCCCCCCATGATGATTTATAATAAATAAATACCCTTTATGTAATCTTCTAAAGATTAATAAATGGTACAACCATGTTGCTAATAATTTAAAGAGCCATATGTAATATGTTGATAATGGGGTGTTAATACACTGCGACCTAAAAGATCTATTGTGCCCCCTTCTGTCGCCACTGCACTAAGGAAATGTCTCATGCCTATAGCGATCCTTCCAATCCTATTTTCTCAAGGAAGGCCATATGTAATAAGACAACCAGGAGAACAAGGAGAGTAATAATCATCAACTATATTTATTTAATAATAAATTTGTGAAATAAATATTTAATGATAGCTATTAAGGCAAGAGTATGAGAATTACGACACAAGCATAATAAAATAAATATTTAATGATAGCTATTAAGGCAAGAGTATGAGAATTACGACACAAGCATAATAGTCATTAAATATGAATACATTATTTTTTCTACTATATAAAGGAAAATCATTATTTTTTATTCAAAATTTCTGATGATACAATTACTAAAATGCAACTGTGGTACTTCATGTAGTTTTGTTACAATATTGGTGGTTTTCATTGTTGATGTCGAATGGCAAACCAATAATTGGAACAATCTCTTGGGGCGAAGACAGGCTAAAATACTTCTGGTTGAATATAACCAGAAAAGATAATAAGCCTGCATCTGCCTAAGCAAGAATAGGCTACGTATTGTAACAGGGATCCTTACTGGGCATTGCCTACTAAAAGGACACCTTAGTAAACTGAGAATAGTAGAAGATAGTGAGTGCAGATTCTGTGAGGAGGAGGAGGAGGACGAAACCTCCATTCATATTCTAAGTAAATGTGTAGTACTCCAGAATCAAAGGGCACTATATCTAGACGCATATCAAATAGAAGAGGGAGAGTTACCTAACTTAAAGCCACTCCAAATCCTACACTTCCTTAAGAAGATAGGATTGGAAGGGTCGTTATAGGCATCGAGGCATTCCCTTGCTGCATTAGCGACAGAAGGGGGCACAATAGATCTTTTAGGTCACAGTGTATTAATACCCCATTCCCAACATAACATATAACATAATGGCAAACTTTGTATGAGTTTTTCTTTCTTCAAATTCAATTTATGGAATAAATAAATAAATAAATAAATAAAATAATAAATTTGTTGACAATATCTGGTGCAACTGACGCTATTGGACGACACTGTAATAACAGCATTAATCATTAATTGCGTACGTGTGTTCGTGTGCCACAATGCCTGTATTATGTCTCTACCCAATTCCCTATAATGGATAAGAAAGTAATGAATTTAACCTGGATTTTATTTCCGTTATAATTTCCTCTCAAAATAAAACTTGTTCTAGTAAAATGTTTGTTAGAGTCACATACATTGACAATACTAGTTTGTATATGAAGGAATAACCAACACTTTTTATTTGTATATCCTTTTGCCCTTAATTATATAGTATGCTTGTTGATGCGAACCTTAAATGTCTATGAATTGAGACGTAAGACCAGTTTGGATGGATGACCGAACTCGTAGAGCTCATCTAAACGGTGGAATGTAAGA